TGCTTTATACAATTGATGTTTGTATGGATTGTGATAAGAGTTGTATGAGCCCTCAATAAAATTATTTTAAAAAAGATCAATTTGGGTAATGTTGATATTTTTACAATATTATGCCTTTCTATTCATAAGCAGGGAACATTCTTCCATTTATGTAGGAATTATCTATTTTTTTCCTCTGGTTAGGTTTATTCCTAAGTATTTCATCACTTGAGTAGCTATTTTAAATGGTATTTCTCCTTGATTGGCTTTTGTATGCATAAATCCTGATTTTTGTATGTTTATCATGAATCCTGCCACCTTGCTGAATTTTGAATGATTTCCAACCATTTTCTTACTGAGTCTTTTCAAATTTCCATGTAAATAACCATATCATCTGCAAATAAAATGTACTTCTCGTTTGCCAGTTTCAATGTTTTTAATTTCCTTTTGTTGCCTGATATCCCTTGCTAAGACTTCAAAGACAATATTGTTTAAGAGTGGTCATAAAGGATATGCTGGCTGGCTCCTTTTCCCAGGAATAATGTCTTTAGTCCCTCTCCTTTGAGCCGTATGTTGGCCATTGGCTTTGCATATATGCCTTTTATTTTACTGAGGGATTTTCTTGCTATTCCTATTTTATTGAGAGTTTTTATAAGACTTGGGTCTTGGGTTTATCGATATCTTTTCTGCATCAATTGATGTGGTCATATTGCTCTTTCCCCTCTCCCCCCACCCTCTGTTTTATTGTAGCATGGATTTACATTGATGTTTTTCTATTGTTGAACCATCCTTGCATATCTGGTATGAATTTCACTTGATCATGATGTTTTTTAATGTTTTGTTTTGTTTTTGATATTTTGTTGGGTTCTATTGGCTAGGATTTTGTTGATAATTTTTATATCTATGTTCATAAAGGATATTATTCTATAATTTTAAATTCCAGTGATTTATTTGCCTGTGGTTTTGGTATTAGGGTTATTCTAGCCCAATAAAATGAATTTTGGGGAGAGTTTGTCATTTTTTTCTATATTCTGGAATAGTTTGAGTAAAACTGCTGTCTGCTCTGAATATTTTTAGAAGTCAATGGTGGAGCACTCTGGTCATGATCTTTTTGTGTTTTATTATTTCTGTCATACATGAGCATTGTATAA